CGATTATTTAAGATCAAAATGGATATCGGATGTTTTGTTACGAGATTTACCGGTATGTATATATATCCGATAAGATAAATATATCTATTTTTTGTCTTAAAAAGCTATTATATTCTCGCTAGGTGGCCATAAACTGCGTCTGCTATTAAATTTTAATTTTTTTGTTACCCTTTAATAAAACGCGGGGGCTGGACAGCCTGTTCTTATATGTCAGAATCCTTCCTACGCCACTCCCTTTTTGTGCTTTATATAAGTCAGAATAGCACCGTGACGTATAGATTAGTATTTAGAACAGGTTATCTAATTGGCAGGTTATCTGTGCACGTCATGGGTTCGGTCACCTGTCTAAGTTCAGCCGACGGGGTTTAGTTTCCGGTCCCATCCGACTGCTGAAGAGATAAAACTTTATGCGTTTAGTCAGCGGTTCAGTTAAAGGAGCTAAATCGCGAATATGTTAGACCTAGAAATTGACACAAATGGGTCGCAACGCATATAATAATGTAATATGAATGTATATAAACTGATTTTACATTCAGTCGTTCCCGTTTTTATTCTAATTCCAAATCTGTTATGTTCGGTAAAATACACCAGAAGTCTCAATCGAATGGCAATCTAGTGTCTGGTTATTCCGGTCTACACCGACAGTATTTATTGCGCATGCTCTTCAGATAAGAATATGGAGTCACCGTTTGACATGACTTGTTGAATGCGTCTAGCCTCGTTCTTCGAGACACTTGTTACAAATGACGCTGAAACGCATTATGGTAAAACGTTTATTTAAATTGACAAATAATTCTTGTTTTCAATGTCGAAGATTTTGGGTGACATTAAGTTAGAAACTTGGCTACTTTAAATGCACTTTTTGATTGACTAGTCTTTTGTTCAGAAGATTGTATGACTATAATAGTGGGCGATGCACATAGATTTGAAATAAGATACACTTGACGACAGACACATTCAATCATGGCATCATGATTTATGCGCTATCAGGAATGCGGGGACTTCAATTGATCGAAAAGCGATAGCAACTACTGCAGCAATATCTTCTATACATTTACATATATTTAAGGATGCATTATTCAAGAGCTACAACTACCTAATGCAGATCTTTCGTTTGGCCTCAAGTGTTATATAAATCATTAATTAGAATTTACATTCCAGGACCATAATCAAAGCTTTAGAACTTCGGATAGTTTTGATTTTCAACAGATTTATAAACGATTGGCAGCTAATGATTTAATTTAAAACTGGATAATTGAGACTTTGTTTATATCCTAACAACGGTATCAATGACAATTGAGACTACACTGTTATGCAAACGACAATAACTCTGCTCAGAATGAAGTAATTTGACTGGAATTTTCATTACCTATTTTTTAACGATCATAGCGAGAACTGTCAGCTCTTTATCTAATTCTAACATAATGCATCTTTAATAGAATTTCCCGCCATAATTACATCCCCCTTCCCCCTTCGTCCATAATATAAGTATATATAGACTTAAATCTAACGCCCCTCGTACGCCTAAGACACCCAATGTTTAAAAACTAGTTTGGTCACATACTAAAGGAAGAATCGGTGGCTTGGCGAGCATAACGCTAGCTCACTAACCCGGGTATCTCTGGCTCAAGATATTAAGCTTCCTGGTTTTCCAGTCAAGGAAAACGTGTCCAGCCTTCGGGTCATGCGAAAAACCGATGAGTCGGGGAAAGAGCCACTGTCGGGGCAAAGTAACCACCTAAGTTTACTTTTTAGCGTACACAAGATTTCCAAAAGTCAACCTAAAGATAGAAAATTATTGTACACACAAACTTGACGAGAGTGCACTCGGCACCATTTATATTAAATTCTGATTAATAATTAAACAAGTAATTAGTTTTCGAACTACCTCCTCGCCATTTATACATTTTATCATAAATTTTAAAGCCCCCCCCCCCTCACCAAAAAAAAACCCCGTCATTAATCTAAATAATATACTATTTTTTGTTGTCGTAAATGAAATTAATAATTTTAAATACCGATGATCCTACATAGACTATAAATTCATCCATTTCTGTAAGTTTTAATATATTCAGGTTGTTCACCATTGAGCGTTGTAAGGGGAATATGCTCTTCAGACTATTATAGTGTGAATAATCACCCTTCAACGTATGGCTAAACTCAATGCATTGGTATTTTGACAGCATGAACAATTATCAACCCTCATGACAATTGATCGGGGTAGCAAATTCTCACAACCTCCCTTAATTTATTCCTACACACGATGTGCTGTTCATTTGGCGGTAATACGGTGTCACACGTACGAGTCGATGAATCCATCCACCCATTTACCAATGCTTATTTAATAAACTCATCGCTATCTCGAAGTCACAGGGTTCTAAAACTAAAGTAGTCGCAAAGCCGTAAAGGTGGCGATGAAAGTTCATCATGTCATTGCCATTTGTAGAAATCCATTATTTTGGAGGTTAAGTTGTGGATATGCACGTTTCTTACTACTAGATATACGCAAGTGTGTGTGGGTTTTAATTATTAATAATTTATTTTTAAAAAACCCAACCGTGTCCACTATATTATGGTCTTCTTTGAATGACATTTAGTAATTGAACATATTAACACAAGGTACAATTTTATGGATACACAATTACTGAGTTTAATACTAAGCGACGTTTCGACGAGGATACTCTCTCGTCTTTATCAAAATAAAGACGAGAGAGTATCCTCGTCGAAACGTCGCTTAGTATTAAACTCAGTCGTCGAAACGTCGCTTAGTATGTCGAAACGTCGCTTAGTATTAAACTCAGTAATTGTGTATCTATAAAATTGTACCTTGTGCTATATTATGGTCATCTACAAACTTTTTGAATCCTATAGGTCTCCACATTTATGAAATTCAACGTTTGAGAACTCTTAATTCTTAAATTGGTTGAGGTTGGACCTATCATTACCACAATTGTTTATATTTTCATGAGATATATAGTTTTCAGAACAGTAGGACGTTAAACCCCATTTCATTTTCATGTTTTCGATTTATACTAAAACGTACATAACGTCTGGGATAGTAATGACAAAACAAAAATATGCCAACACGTGGTCAGAAACGAACATGGTTGGCAACATGCGCACTAGCAGATCAAGGTATTGAATCCAGGAATTGGTCGTGGCGTGAAGGATGGCAAAAACACAAGATGTCAACGAAAGCAGAAAATCAACCATTCAAATCAAGCATGCAATGGTGCGCCGTGTGCCCCTCCCGTGCCGAAGTGAACATAGTAAACATGGACATGTTAAATTAAGTCGTAAAGAAATATCGGCATTGTGTTTATTCTAATTCTCCAGATGACAAACACCGTGTTAAACGTACCCCGACATTCTGTCCAATTCAATCAGCAAACGTCACTCGTGCAATAAATTGTTCTTCCTCAAGGGAGATAACCTGTCCCCAGGTAGCGTAGTATTTCGATATGGTGTGACTGTATTCATCTGTTTGTTAAGAAGTAATCATTTGTCGTCGGTCTCTCGAGTGAAACGTGTGATGTGTAATTTACATGGTAAAACAACAGGAATGCTGGTACCCATTAAGCCTTTTTCAAGATATTCGTGACATTAAGTATTAGGGAAATTTTGAGTCGACAAAACAACCGAACATAATATAACCCTAGGATATTGAATTTATTAGTTTCAGACGGGCTATTTACGTATTGTTTTATAAAATCGGCTTATAAAATGACATGTAATTAATAGTTTTGTCTAGAAGTACAATTATAAAAACATCCTCCTCGCATTTCATTATTTTTTCTATTATGTATCATGAGACAAATAGTCAACACTTTTTCTATCCTGCGTGCGAAGGATTTTCTACACTTTCTCTAATGGATATTGAACACTTTTCTTGAACATTTTTAGTCTAAGTTCAAAATCAACATTACACGTTTTTGGGTGTGACTTTTTTCTTGGAGAAAGTTACAAATAATTTATACCGGCTACAGGCTACAGAAAATGTCGCAAAAGAATCTTCATTGTACATGATATGTAATGAAGTGACACCAAATGCATGGCACTTTATTGGCTACGTTGGTGCAAAATGTTGAACCCCAATTCATTTTATTTTTGACAAATTTGTAGATGATAAAAAAAGTATCGACAAGTATTATTGTGTTTTCAAGCACACGTTGTCTTTGTCGTTTTAACTTACTCATTGTGTAATCCCACTGAAGGATTACATAAACTAAATATACTTTTATTTATTTATTATTTTATACTAGCTCTGCGGTTTGTCTTATATTAGGTCACTTCCTGCTGCCAAGAATTATATTATAATTCACTTATATCCAGTTATGTAGAGATGTACGAGATATTTAGAATATCAACATAGTCTTGATTGTCCAAACGTGGATAGATAACCTTTAAAAGAAAAGTTAATTATATACTAAATATCTCAAGAGGGTAACAAAATTAAAACTAAATTAAATTTAAAATTTTGTTCAGGTGCAAAAGCATCGCAAAATAATTAGTCTTATTGGATAAGGGATATTGGTTTGTTAATAATATATTTGAGAACATCGAGGATCCATTCAAGGTTGCAATATCTTGACAAATGCCCTTGTTGACTTTAAGTGTTCTGTTTGCCCTGTAATTAAATATACTTGACTATATGTTTCATAGGTATGCTAAAGACTGTACATCTTGCTTGGTTATTGGTTTGTTTTTTATTATTTATGACAGGCTATAATTTTATCAGAAGTCCCTCTTTTTGCGATTTTCATAGGTTTGGATTTAAAACTCAACAATTATTTATTTATTATTTTTGTTAAAAGTCCGTCAATCGACGGCACATTTGGCCAATTTGTCATTTAGGTCGTACTAAACTTGGCGGGGCCTTAGGCGTTTTTTTGCAGATCGCTACGCCAAGACGATTACCAAGTATGGAACCAGTTCCTGTTTCAAAATGTTTAATTTTAACCATACATATTATATATTTTGTTTTCTCTTTATTGTTGCAGACGGCGGTAGCGCTGAAAAGAGGTTTCTGCGGTTCGGTCGGGCGTTAGCCGGAGATGGATTTCTTAGGTTTGGACGACAGTTTTATAGAATTGGTAGAAGTCCACTTGAAGAAAAAAGATTTCTACGATTCGGACGCGCTGGTTTCGATGAATCTTTGAGTGACTTAGTAAGATCTTATATTATGCAAAATGGACCAGTTAGAAGTGATGTTTTATATAGGAAAAAACGCTCAGCAGAAACACCTTCAGAATCAAAACAGTCATCAACAGCAGAAATTACGAAACGAGAAGCCCCACAGACCGAGGAAGAAAAGAGATTTATGCGTTTCGGCCGTGATGGTCAAGAAGAAAAACGATTCATGCGATTTGGTAAAAGGTTTATGAGATTTGGGAGAGATGGTGAAGATGAAAAACGTTTCATGAGATTTGGAAAGAGCGCCAACGAAGAAAAACGTTTTATGAGATTCGGTCGAGATCCCGACAAGAGGTTCATGAGATTTGGCAAAGATGGTAATGAGGAGAAAAGGTAGGTTCAGACGACAGCTTTGGCATGTTATAGTTTGGGGTTGCTTTCTATGGGGACTTGTTGTAATTATGACAAAAAAAACCGGCTAAATGTTGACTCGATGACAAATATTACCCTACGTAACGGTAACTTTAGGTTACTGGGCTTATTCACGGTAACGGAGTCATGGTGGCCTAGTGAGTCACTAACCTGGTGTTGACCAAGAAGGTTCATCGTGGTGTCCCAGTATATTTGTTAAATTTAAATAAATCTTTTATTGGCCTCCTGTCGTGTAATGTCCAACTGTCAAATCAAGACCCTTAACTCCTGGGAGGGCTTGGGAGCTCCGGTGGCTCGGTGATTATGTTCTCTGAGTTCGATCCCAGTGTTAGCCGACTTTTCCAGACCATTTTCACTGTGTCATTGGTGCAGGACGGAGGGCCTGCCAAGAAAGGTGTCTTGTCGTTTTCGGATGCGATAATCAAATAAAAGTAGGTTGTAGCGCCGCTGTCTAGACAGGCGTTTCCTCACAGCTCACATTTGTATTCGCTTCCCTCTTCGTTTATAATTTTACATCAACACTGAAAGTCAAATATGAATATCAAATTAATAAACAAACCGACTGCTGATTAATGGTCATAAGCCAAATATTAAACATACACTATGCAAGAGCTAAATCTGTCTATTGCAGGTCTTTCTTTAGGCCTGAAATGTTATCTAAATTATTAATAAGACATTAATTAACTTATCCAGGCCATAATCAACTCTAGATGGCATCGCTAGCCTGCGATCTTAAGTGGATTGTGAGCCGATTTACTGCATAACTTTCCTTCTCGATTAAACGATTAAATAGATAATCGAGACTATGCTGTTTATCGTACTGACTTTAGTAATGATGACCGAGGCTAGGCAGAAATTTCATTCGCTTAGTTTTCGATTCATAGTGGATCAATTTGAATGAAATATTCAGCAAATTGCCTTTACGGTGTCTTGTTTTTAACTATTATAGTGAGAACTGCCAACTCGTTATCGAATCTCCCATAATGTATCTTTAATCGTATCGCTTATCCAATAACCGGGCATCAGATATAGCAACACATCAGATATGCCCTATTCAACACTTTATGATATTAAACATCCATTATGAAATTGAAGTTTTCGCGAATAAAGGGCCCCCAGATCTTTAGTTAATCATTCTGTTTAGATAAATTTAATTGATAACAATGGTCAAAGAAAAACTAACAAATGACCCATCCGATTAATTACACTCAATCCCCATGACGTACCAGCGTTGTTTTTAAACGTTTAAATATATGATCAGACTACGGGTTATTAGTATGTCGCCACGGGTTTTAAAATAAGTTTTTACGTGGATATATTTTAGTCACTAAAATTTGCTTCTGGCTTCAACATCAACAAATAAATCAATGAATTTATTGTTTTCATATGTTTCATCAGCTTTAAAGTCGTGATGCGCCAGACCGCAAATGATTATTTTGCTTGTTTCAATTCAACTAAATTCAAGAATTAAAGTTGTTTTTAGAAAGTAATCTAGACGATTAAAACAAACAACGTGGGTTGGACTCCAATTATCATTCAGGTGTCGGTTAACAATCTGAGAGAAAAACACATGGCGGCATGAAACCAATAGAAAGTAATTTATTTAAATAAATAAGGACTTAATGATGATCTTTAGATTGTAATGTAAATGATAAAAACTAATAAATTTAGACGCCTTATTGAGTTCCATATTCGTGGACATACATGAAATATCATTCAAGGTGTTTTATAAAGACAACGAAAAAGTGCCATATATAGCTTCCATATCAGACATGGTCCCCACAAGGAGCCGACCCAAGCCAGGCACCGATCTAAACCGCCATACCGGCAAGCTCAAACCACATGCCAAAAAAAGAAGCCCAATCCAGTAGCCTTTTTTCACGGCGGATATTGTACTTTTTTTTATGACGTGATAAATGTATTTTAAAAAAATAAATGCATTCTTATACCCGATAATCTGTTATTAGAGCCAGCGGAAAAGAACTAAATCAAATTCATTTCTTTATTCTATTGGTAGGTTTATGAGATTTGGCCGAGATGGAGAAGACGAAAAACGATTTATGAGGTTTGGGAAATCCGTAGATGACGAAGATATGGACAACTTTGACGACGAAGATGCTACTGATTATGAAAAGAGATTTATGCGATTTGGAAAAAGGTTATTATTTTGTCTAAGGAGTAAAGTTATTTGAACATATCTATCTAATTATAGATACAACATAAGTTACAACATTAACCCTTTATACACGAAAACGTCTTTGTTGTTCACCTGGGCGAGACTTGGTGGGTGCTTTTTAATCTATGCGATAATCCCGATGTCATCGCTCTTATTTAGGTGTTTCATTGGAAATACACTTCTGGAAACCCATCGTTTATCGCTAAAGCGTTATCTATGGCTATCTGATAGATAAAACGTGCTTTTTATATATATATATATATATATATATATATATATGTGCCGATATCTTTTCGCTGATACTGATTGTGCATTTTTTGGAGCCACGGTGGCTAGGTGGTTAAGACGCTGGATCGCTACCCTGGAGGTCGGGTGTTCGATCCCTGCATTGGCCGAGAAAGTTCAACCCGATTTTCCGACGTGGTTTCCCCGTGTCAAAGGTGCAGAACGGAGGGCCTGACAAGGACAGCTGTCTAGTCCTTCGGATGAGACGAAAATACGAGGTTCCGTGTATACATTGGAATGCACGTAAAAGATCCCCTGGCAGTTGGAATTCGATATAAGAGTAGGCGATAGTGCCGCTGCTCGGGCAAAATTTCTCTCATAGCACACTGTATGATAATGGCGTATGCCCGTCTTCATTAGCCCAGTATAGGAGCAGAACAGTAGGACGTTTAACCCCATTTCATTTCATTTCGATTGTGCATTTTCATGACCTAGTCGACGTCAGATTGTACTTGCATTGATAATTTAACATCTAATTAAAGAGACACTATGGGAGAGCTAAATTTGCCGTCGGATGGATTGGACATTGAGTGGATAAAACAATGTACGCCATATCTGCGTTAAACACTTACATGACCACCTAGTCGACCTGACATCTTGTATATTAAAAGTCTTACTTGGATTTAAAATATCTCAATATAATACAAATTTAATGACACTCGTTGTCTGAAACACGATACAGGTAGCCATTAATAACGTCGCTCAGAATAAGGTAATGTACTGATATTTTCATAAATAGCAAGAACGGTCAGTTCTTTCTAAAATCTCGTATAATGCCTCCACAAAGAGCCCTAGATTCAACTGGATTAAAAGGAAACGCATCAACAGACTTTACCCAACACTTTTAGGTGGCGCTGACTTGTTTGTATCGCCTGCAGGTGGTCTGTTATCAAACACCAGAAATCTGCGATAGGTATTCGAAAATGTACGCATATGCGCGTAATATTAATTATCGCCTTTATTCTACATGTACATGTATATCCAAGGACAATAATAGTGTTGAATATTATTATTTCAGGTTTATGAGGTTTGGCCGTGACTCCGAGGACTCTGAAATGGAACCTGAAGAGGCAAAGAGATTCATGAGATTCGGAAAACGATTCATGCGTTTCGGAAAACGTGATGGCGAAGAGGAAAAAAGATTTATGCGTTTCGGAAAACGCGACGGCGAAGACCAAAAACGATTCATGCGTTTCGGAAAACGTTTTATGCGATTCGGCAAACGAGACCAAACAGACGAGAAAACAGAGAAAGCAGCAGCGGCATAGATAATAAAATTCTATTTCATACTTGTTTTCATTTGAGTTAAATACATTTACAATTTGTTACATAAAAAGGGACCAAAAATTACAAGGCGATTATCCCCCTTTAATTGTTATGTTGCCAAAGATATCTCCCTTCCAAACTGGAATGTCATTTCTGTAGATATGTGAACAGGCGTCCCTTTTTGCTATAACAAATACACAAACGAGCAAAAAAAAAAAACATTAAAAAAGAGAAAAAAAAAGAGAAAAGAGCGCATTTATTTTGTCCCGTTCATCATATTCGATTAAGACATTTTTAAGAATTCGTACAGTGAAAGATAGTTTATATATCTTAACTACCAGTGGAATAAATCAAATTCAGTTATACTCATATTTGTACCGTGGCGTACAGATACATATGAATTTATTGAGTTCAATCCACTTGCCCTGGCTGCCAAGGTTCAGCGTGAGGGGTATTTATTTTATATGTAGGGGATGACTGTGTTAAACTTTATATTCGTCCTCTTTTAAACTTGTAGATGATAAATTTGCAAATCTTCTTTAATGATTTAAGATCTAACTTTAGAGTTGATAACGTTTTTTTTCCTTTTATTCATCCATTGCTCTGTGTGTGATATCAAGTAGAAGTCGCATGGTATCTCCCCTTGGATGCTGAATTCGAACTTTACAATATAATATTGTTATCCGAACATTATCAGTTTACTGATCCTAATTTTCATATTGTTCCTTGAAGATTTAATTTGTATTAAAATGAGAGAATTATATGTATATTAATAAATGAATAAAATGTATTTATTACCTCCCTTTGACAGATAATCTGCTTCCTTAATTACTCCGCCACCCCCACACCTCGCGATCACTACCTAAGGGAAGGGAAATGGGACTTAACGGTCAGAAGGCATCAATTATGTCATTTTGGGACTAACACAAGGATCATTTTCTGTTAAACAATTAGCTTGTGCGTAGGGCCTTTAACAGTGGGAGGGGGGTTGGGATGGCCTAGTGGTCTAGAGTGCCGCGCTTAGACCTCTGGCTGGCCGGTCACCTCTGGCTTGCGGCTGTGGTTTCGAGCCCTGGTGTGAGCGTATGTGGCATGGAGATAGGGGCGCCTTCTCAACCTCGTGGGTTTCCTCCGGGCACTCCGGTTTCCTCCCACTGCTAAAGACCTCTACGCGCAAGCGAATTATTGAAATAAAATTAAACCATATGTTAGTCCCGAAATGACCTAGTTGTGTCGAGTGGACGTTAAACCCCATTTCTCTCTCTCTCTCTTTAACAGTGGGAGAAAACTGGAGGACACGGATAAAACCCGCGATGTTGGACAGGCGACCCTAGCCCTTGTCACGTACAATAACAGATCTTACACATTGTGGTAACTATGACTGAGCAAGCTCAATGTTGTGGTTTCTTAAATTTTGAGCTGGATATAATGACTTTTTATTACCCATTTTCATAGTACGACTAAAAAGGTCATTTGTCTTAAATACAGTTTGAACTGTACTTGTAAATTCTGTCGAAAACCAGTGTCGTGCACTGGATATATCACGCTGAATATATCACGGATATAGTGAACGCGAGGTGTGGGGGTGTTACAGAATAACCGACGCACCAATATGTCAGGTGCATTTTAATGTATATAAACTGTGTTACACGGATCCATATTCGCAAATTCCTATGAATGCTATACAGGTATTTGTTATCAATGGGGGTGGGGGAGGGGCGAATGGTTGGCACGTGCGCGCTGTATCATAAGGTCTGTCATTGGGTCATCTGGCGGGGTTTCAATTCCCCGATTGTACGTGACAAGGAGTAGGGTCGTCTGTCCAACCTCGTGGGTTTTCACCGGGTCCTTCCACTACTAAAGACCCCTACACGCAAACGAATTATTGAAATAAAATTGAACCATGTGTTAGTCCCGAAATGATCTAGTTTGTGTCCAGTTGGCATTAAACCCCATCTCTCTCTCTCTCTCTCTCTCTCTCTCTCTCTCTCTCTGTTATTGACGGTATTTTTTCACTTTCAAGAATTGTTCAATTTTATAATCCCCACTTTAATTTGAAGGCTCATGTGTTCACAATGAGGGGTTGAGTTCGCACATATCCAATATGCCGAAGAAAATCCGCTAAGTAAACGGCCCTGCAGGCATGAATTTATGTCGGATAAAGTTTGTTTAGCCGTGCTGAAACAAAAGTGTGGCCAGAATTGGAGAACCGATTAACAACGCTAACCAGGTCATCTCGGGATATGGGACATATCTGAATTTCACTAATAGGTGTGTGCTGGTGTCGTTAGCTGTAGGGGGGTACCGGAGAACACCTACAGGATCCCCCACTCCTTGCCATGTAGAACCTTGGGATGGAAACAATGACACTTGACGCAATGAGCTCTGGACCACCCACTCACCTTAGCACAACAATCGGGACGCGGCTTCGTGAATCTGACTGGTTATAAGGATGAGCACTTTTAAAATGCAAAGTTACCTGATCTGGTGGCTCTTCTGGTATAAATGGGTATTGGCATCTTTCCTCTAGGCATAACATAGGCTTAATTGGTCATGTCATTAAATGTCGGCTGGCAGTTTCTTTTGAAATATGCTGAGATTGCTCAACTGGTCATAGGTGGAAACCTAATTAAGAAAACACTGACTGATCGTTAAAAAATTCTGCCCAGCAATTTAGCTACTTGTGGAAGTGTGTTTCGCAGATTAGGAGCTGTACATTGAAGATCACAGGACCTGGCATGCATGCAATACATGGGTGCATTCCCGGGTTTGTACCTGATACGAAATGAAATGGGCTTTAACGTCCTATTGTTCTGTTTCGACAGGAGTAATGAAGACGAGCATACTCCATGCAGTGTGCTATGAGGAAAATGTGACCCGGACAGCAGCGCTATGGCCCTACTCTTATATCGAATTCCATCTGCTAATGGTTCATTTAGTGCTCGCCAATGTCTACACAGGACCTCGGTTTTTCGTACCATCCGAATGAAAATACGCTGTCCCTTGCCAGACCTTCCGCCCTGCACCACTGACAAGGGGTATAACCATGTCGGAAAACCCCGATGAACTTTCTCGGTCAACACAGGACCTCCGGGTTAGCAAGCCAATGTTTTATCCATTGAGCCACCGTGGATGTCGTACCCGCCAAGAAATAGGGTCGCATACATATGCTAACCATGCCATATGTTAATCCCATATTGACCGGGATATCACCGAGTGGAAGTTATGTATCGTCTAAGCTTTAAGTTGCTTTCTCTGGGGGAGCCACGGTGGCTAGGTGGTTAAGACGGGAGCCACGGTGGCTAGGTGGTTAAGACGCTGGTTCGCTAGCCTGGAGGTCGGGTGTTTGATCCCTGCATTGGCCGAGAAAGTTCATCCAGATCTTCCGACGTGGTTTCCCCTTGTCAGTGGTGCAGAACGGAGGGCCTGACAAGGACAGCTGTCTAATCCTTCGGATGAGACGAAAAACCGAGGTTCCGTGTATATATTGGACTGCACGTAAAAGATCCCTGGCAGTTGGAATTCGATATAAGAGTAGACGATAGTGCCGCTGCCCGGGCGTATGCCCGTCTTCATTAGCCCAGTATAGGAGCAGAACAGTAAACCCCATTTCATTTCATTTCATTTCATTTCATGCTTTCTCTGGGTGTTGTATTAATGACCAAGTTCAGTATTCATCCATAACTATCATCTGATTGGTATTTTCCGAGTACGATCGGAATTGAATTTGTAATCCATGTTGCAAAGACATTAAGGTTGTAAGCCCGATTTCCCGGAGTCGCCAACAGCACAAAAGTCTTTTGACGGATTGAATATTAATGGTGTAACAGCTGCCGTTTTGGTAAATAAGAATATCCTCAACATAAATATACTCGATGAAGAGGACAAGGATCTTGTTAAAATCATATTGGCAAGTTGAAAGTAGTGGAGGCTGAACATTATAGATCTGATACAATTTAGATGTTGTTAGAAAGACGAAGCACATATGAGCAATACAAATATACATAGCAAAATACCATCTTAACTTACGGGATATTCCGGCCATCTCGGGATATAGGACATATCTGAATTTCAATAATGGGTGCGTGTTGGTGTCGTGAGCTGTAGGGGGTACCGGAGAAAACCTATAAAGTTAGACAGGCCACCCCACTCCTTGCCATGTACAACCCTGGGATGGAAACAATTACACTTGACGCAATGAGTTCTGGGCCACTCAATCACCTTACTGGATAATGTAATAAAATTTATTACAACTACGTATTTTAGAACATATTACATTTTTTGTGTGTTGGCAATTGGGAAAACGAACCCACTGTGCCTGAAAATAGATGGTATCCATAAACAGTCCTACCTTGTTAAAGAATAATCCTATTAATCCTATAATTCACTACTGCCAGCTGAGAAATTGGCAAAAATATCATTTTCCTCTTCATTTTCAAACGTTTGAATATCGCTACTCCATGGTGGAGAATAAAAACAAGGGAGGTAATTGTGTTATTATTTCCTGTGTAAAGGAATCTTAAGTGTGAGCAAAAGACATAGAAATAATTACGTTTTGACTTTCTTAGAAAATTTGCAATTTCCGCTTTAACGGTTCTTTTACCTGAACGCCAGGTTTTTTTGTCCACCCGAAAGACCATGGCAAGGGAATGGATTGGGGGTTAGTGAAGTGTGCTACAGGGAAATATACTCGGCCAAATTAAAAACTTGACACTCGGGATTTTTGGGACTAGATTTTTAATATTTGGTTTAAGGCAACTATTTTAGTGTTATGTTGTGCACAGACGACCTTGACATCAACAGAAAGCAAGAATACGTCTCGCCGAAAGTCCTTGACATTGATAACGTTCGTGATGTCAGTACCCCCCAAAATGAAATTCACAGACTTGGAGAACAATCGGAATAAAGTGTTTATAAAGGTGGTGGCCTCCTCTAGCGTCTCGTACTGGCACACAACGTCTTCTCAAGGATCTCAGAACATTAGTAATAACTACCCGAGGAAGACGTCGCCACTGCTCAACAAGAGCATGCTGAAGGTCCTGCAACGTCAGTGGTGGATTCACTTGCTGACGAACACGTCGACCCAGTTCGTCCCAGATGTGTTCAATAGGATTAAAGTCGGGGCTAAGCGACTTGGACACCGGCATTTCTTAAAAAATTCTGGGTAGCAATTGCTGTATGGGGTCGAGCATTGTCTTGTTGAAACGTTAGTCCAGGCCCATGTCTCTGCATAAATGGAAGAAGAACA